GGTGGGGGGGCCGGGGCGGGGGGGTGCGGGCCAGTCCGGGGCTCTACATGATGCTGCACTTCCCCTTGATTTTGTCTGTCCTCTTCTGCTTGCTGGAGCGCTTCCCGTCGATGGTGAGGCTGACGTTCCTCCTCTTCTCCAGGTTGAGCAGCTCCTGGAAGAGCTCCTTGACGTTGTAGTTCATCTTGGCCGAGGTCTCCATGAAGGCGCATTTCCACTCCTTGGCCATGGCCTCCCCCTCCCTGCTCTCCACCTCCCGCTGGGTCTCGTCGCACTTGTTGCCCACCAGCATGATGGGGATGCTCTCCACGCTGCCCTTGATCTGCACGATCTGCTGGTAGATGGGCTTCAGCTCCTCCAGGGACTGCTTGCTGGTGACGGAGAAGACCAGGATGAAGGCATGGCCCTTGGAGATGGAGAGGCGCTGCATGGCGGGGAACTGGTGGCTGCCGGTGGTGTCGGTGATCTGCAGGGTGCAGACGCTCTTGTCGCAGCTGATGACCTGGCGGTAGGTGTCCTCGATGGTGGGGATGTAGGTGTCCCGGAAGGTCCCCTTCACGAAGCGCAGCACCAGCGAGCTCTTGCCCACGCCGCCGGCCCCGAACACCACCACCCGGTAGTCGTTGCTCTGCTCCGGCATCTTGCCCCAGAGATGCTGCCGCTGCGGGGGGACACAGGCACAGCGAGGTGTCACCCCAGGGGCTTCCAGATGGACACCCCCACCCCGGGCCACCGCTCTGTGGGGTGAAAACGGGCCTCCTCACCCCCAACCCCCCTTTGAGATGCAGCCCCCACACTTCTCCAACCGGGCCACCACAACCGGGGGGGTGCTGGCCCCCTCCCTGTGCCCTTGAGACGCCCTTGCTGGGTGGCCGGGGCAGGTCGGTGCTCCTGGTGGCCTGGGGTGCAGCAGCCTTTGCTATTTTTACCCGCCGCCCGCCGCGGCCATATGGCCGAGCCACGGCCACCGGCACAGCAGCTGCGGCCCAGGCTGCCGGGGCAGGGTTGTGCTCGGGGGGGACACACACAACAGAGGGGACACACAGGACCCCCAGAGCCCCCGGGCAGCAGTGGGGCAGCCACCAGCCCAGCGAGGAGCCGGTGGCACCCGGAGTGTCCCCTCTGGCTCTCCCACACTCGGCTGCTGAGTACGGAGGTGCCATTTCACACGCAGAGCTCGGCGCTTGCCACGCTGTCCTGCCACCCCCTGTCACCCCCTGTCACCCCCTGCCACCCCCTGCCACCCCCTGTCACCCTGTCCTACCCCATGCCATCCCTCTGCTCCTGTGCCACCTCCAGGGATGCAGCAGAGAGACGTGGGCAGCGGGGCAGAGCGTGGCATGGCCAGGGGCTGGTGGCCTGCAGGCTCAGAGAGCCCCGTGGCCACCCTGGTGCTGCCAAAGCTCGGTGCCCACTCACAGGGGATGCATCCACTTGTGCCCCCTGCCCCCCGAGTGATGTAGGGGGGTGACACCAGGGGGCACAGAAAGCCCCCGATGCTCAGCCCTGGATGAGCATCACCTCGGCCAGGCCCTGCCTCAGTTTCCCCCCCTGCAGCATCAGCTCAGCCCCAAGCACACATGGGGACATCAAACATGCCACAGGCCGGGGTTTCACGAGGTGCCAGTGTGACAAGTGGGGCAGGAGGGGGTTCAGGGGTCAGGTCTGTCCCCAGCCAGCTCTGCTCCTGCCACCCCCCATCCCAAGGCAGGGACCAACAGGCCTGGGAAGGGGGGGGACAGCAAAGCCCCATGCTGGTGGCACCTGGGCACCTCCAGGGGACCCAGCCCTTTCCATGGCTGCTGCATTCCCGGGTCTGGACCCCACAAACAGCCCCCATACCCTGGCACCCCCCCGAACACCCGGGCAGGGGCTGGTGGGGGGCAAGCAGGGGGTTGGGAGCTGGGGAAGGTGCCCATCACCGTGGCCTTGGGCACCCGAGGAGCTGGTTCCACTGGGGGGGCAGAAAAACACCCCTCAGATCCCACCACAGCAGAAGTGTCACCAGCACACGGGGGCTGGGGACGGAGCAGGGACCGGGGCAACCCCAAAGCTTGGCCGGGGCTGGGGAGGGTCCTGCCTGTCCCACCCGCCCCTGGCACAGCCAAAAGCGCCCCCGGCCTCGTGGCCCCCCGGGGGTGCCCAAAGGCCCCACGGCCTCTGCCCGGCAGCACCCAAAACCCCAACCCCTGTGTGTCTGCGGCCTCCCCTCTGCTCCTGGGGAGGGGGCCACCCGCCAGATGGGGGGCATTTCCCGGGCTGGGGGAGACAAACAGCCAGTGGGGGGTCTGGGGGTCGGGATGGAGGGCAGGGGCAGGATGGTGGAGCAGGAGAAGGGGCAGGAGAAGGGGCAGGAGATGGGGCAGGATGGAGATTGAGGAGAAGGAAACGGGCAGGATGGAGATGGAGGGGCAGGAGATGGGGCAGGATGAAGGGATGAAGGAGCAGGATGGAGGTGGTGGAGCAGGAGAAGGGGCAGGAGAAGGGGCAGGAGATGGGGCAGGATGGAGATTGAGGAGAAGGAAACGGGCAGGATGGAGATGGAGGGGCAGGAGATGGGGCAGGATGAAGGGATGAAGGAGCAGGATGGAGGTGGTGGAGCAGGAGAAGGGGCAGGATGGAGGTGGAGGGACAGGCTGGAGATGGAGGAGAAGGAAATGGGCAGGCTGGAGATGGAGGAGCAGGAGATGGGGCAGGATGGAGATGAAGGGGCAGGATGGAGGTGGAGAGACAGGAGAAGGGGCAGGATGGAGGTGGAGGAGAAGGAAACGGGCAGGATGGAGATGGAGGAGCAGGAGAAGGGGCAGGATGGAGGGATGAAGGGGCAGGATGGAGGGATGAAGGGGCAGGATGGAGATGAAGGGGCAGAATGGAGATGGAGGAGCAGGATGGAGGGATGAAGGGGCAGGATGGAGGTGGAGGAGCAGGAGAAGGGGCAGGATGGAGATGAAGGAGCAGGATGGAGGGATGAAGGGGCAGGAGAAGGGGCCGGGAAGGGGCCGGACGGAGGAGCAGGATGTCGGGGAGGGACCAGGGTCCCACCACCCCCGGGCGGGGGTCCCGGCCCCGCTCCCCGGCCGTGCCCTGCCCTTGCCGGGGGCACCCCC